ATCATGTACTGGGTACTTTCCCCTCATTCCGATTCTTCTTCTTTCACACAACTTGCCTCAGGCCTTCCTATCAGAACTCCTAGACATATATCACCAAGACACAGAAATCTTCATATTGTTAGTATCACTACTGACAGAGCTGGTAAGCCTTAATTCCCAAGACATGCAGTCTCATTCATGAGCTAGAAAAGTTGCCTAACGGAACGCAAACTCATTATACATCTGTTTCCCAGCACTTTTTTGGATGTTTGTTATATGGCAAACATTTAGGTGCATTGACATGCATTCAATTTGTGGAAATATTTGAAAGATATAATCCTAAATACCTAATAATTATTAAAATTATTTCCCCTTGTCTAATAGATTTATTTTTTCCTTTCTGTTGAAGCAAAAAACAATTTAATTTGATTAATGCTACTAACCTTTTCTTCTTTCTTTAACAAAAAAATAACATAAAAATAAAATAAAAACAGATATTATTTGATCAGTGACTCAGTATCTTTCAAGACGCATTGCTGCATTAGGACTGAACTCGGACAAGTGCAGAGATCCACTTTCTGTGATGGCAGAGCGGTGTAGAATAAAGAATACAGACGTATTTGTAACTTATTATGTCGTTTATTATGTCCAAGTAGCTGGCAAATAGTAATAGACCGTGACTAGTGTCACTTTGCCTTAAAAGAATTTTGCTCCATCTGGTAGCTTTAGCGATATTGTTACATGGAGAATTATGCATTTTGATATTTTCTTCCGATTCTTTTTTTCTCAGATAACAGAACAGCTTAATGGGCTTCCTGAGCCAGCGAGTCAGGCATTTGGTATGGAAGTTAAAAAAAATGGACCATTTTGGGGCCATTTCTAGCCTAGACTCTCAGACTACCCAGAAGATGATGTAAGATATAATAACAAATACTGTCATTTTTATTCTTAACTGAATATCTTCCAGTACTTAAAAATTTAATTTTTAATGTATGATTTTGTGATGTCTTTTAAAATTGTAGGCTCAGACCTGACAAAACTACAATGTTAAGAGCTCGAGGTTTTTCTGAGCTGAAAAAAAAAATGTGATAATAGCCATTTCTGGCTTCTCTGTCAAATAAAATAAACTATTAATTTGGGGACATTTTTTGTAAATGTACACATTTGATGTATTTTACCGCCCTTTTTTATTTTTTCAAAATGTGAGGAAACACCATTTTCATTACAATAAAATTTAATGAATTATTTTTAACCTTTGGAAAAAAAAAATGAATCTGTTCTCTCTATATGTGAGTATGTGTTGAGTGTGAGCGAGTTTAAGTGATTTACTTTTACAGATAATTACAAAAATGGCACTTTTGCTGGTGGCAAAAAAAAAAAAAAAGGCAAAATACACAGATAGTAGGTCATGTAATGCAATGTGTGTACCTCCTTGATTAAAATGGTAAAAAATTCACTTAACAAATAATTATTCTCTTGGTGACGTATATTTATGACTGTGACTCTGTGCTTCATAAACGTGGAAAATAAAATTAGCACCTGGGATTCTCAAAAAGTTCGTAACTTGAAGGCATATTTTGTCAAGTAGGTTGGTTGGTGGTTCACACATTGCCGCCGCCATGGCTTGGCTGGTTATTTCTATTATATATATATATGTATTATATATACCAGTAACTGCAATATGCAGACATTGCAGTTACTGGTATATTTATTGTATGCAAGTGATAGAATTTATTTGGAAATAAAGTGAGTAAAAAGATATGATACGTTTGTCATCTGGTAAAAGCCTAATTCACAATTTTTTATTGCTTCAATATCTTTTTCATGTCTGGTTTTTAAATTTTGCTTCACACCCCACTTTCTTTCTGTTCTTCTGAGATTTGTTTTCGTGAGGGACTTGTCACTTGTGCCCATTTCTAATTTTTTTCTTTCATTTTTTAGGTATCATATACCTATACATGGGCGCCCGCAGGGGGGGGGGGCAAGGGGGCACTTGCCCCCCCTCTGGATTGATTGGATAACAATTTTTTAGACAAAAATAGATAAAAAATGTCTTAAAGTAAAGAGAAAATAAAGAGAAAGTAACTAAGCTGATGTCCTGTCCGTTCGTTCACCATACAAATACGCTACAGTAAATTAAAACTACATTCAAACATTATTACAAATTTTTTTGCCCCCCCCCCCTAGAAAGTTAATCGATTTTTTTACACCCCCCCCCAGAAAGTTTTCTGCGGGCGCCCATGTACCTATATTACGTAAAATTTCAATAAAATTGTATTAATCTTTTAGTTGTACTGAAACATTTAAACTTGTATTTTGTCTATTTTTTCTAAATTTTTAGGTCTTTTTAATCTATTTAAAAGATGTATCGCAGTCCAACCCGCTTATAATTGGATTGGGAATCATTTGAAGTAACTGACAAAATTGGAATGTGTGTTTAATGACATTGGTCTAACTAATGGGATCTTGGAGCGAATGCTATTCGGATGTCATTTGTGGTAGTTTATTTTAGTTAAACTGAAGAAGTAAGTTTACAAACATATAGTCCATTCAATTATCTTTCAATTAATACCTCATTTGTCTTTCAAACTCAAAAATAATATATTTTTAATAGTTTTTTTTTATCCCAACCTCTCACTTCTGGTACCCGTGTGCGAATAGCCCCTTCGTTTTATTTGTTTGAGATTCCTTAGAATTTAGATACAATTTTCATATCTTAACCTTTCTCCGTTTTTGGGTTATTTTTTATTTTTTTACACTCACAGCATTTACATGTTCTGTAATTGAGTTTATTCGTATATATTAGGCCTACTTGATTGATTTTCCTATTATTTAAGAAAAATGAAATATTGATTTTTGATACACAAGTTATTTATTGACAAGAAAGCCCTGTTTGGGATTGGTTTGCACACGCTGAAGACAAATATTTGGTATGCTTCAGCTTAATACAACTCATATCTACGGAGTTCAATTTTAATTCAATCAAATCAAAATGTAATAAATGGTGAAAAAAGGTAATAAATGGTGAGCCAAAATGTAATAAATGGTGAGCCAAAATGTAGTAAATGGTGGGCCAAAATGTAATAAATGGTCAGCAAAATGTAGTAAATGGTGAGCCAAAATGTAATAAAAGGTGAGCCAAAATGTAGTAAATGGTGAGCCAAAATTTAATAAAAGGTGAGCCAAAATGTAATATATGGTGAGCAAAAATCTAGTAAATGGTGAGCCAAAATTAATAAATGGTGACCCAAAATGTAGTTAATAGTGAGCCAAAATGTAATTAAAGGTGAGCCAAAATGTAATATATGGTGAGCCAAAATTTAGTAAATGGTGAGCCAAAATGTAATAAATGGTGAGCCAAATATTATAAATGATGGGTCAAAATGTAGTAAATGGTGAGTAAAAAATGTAATAAATGGTGAGGCAAAATGTAGTAAATGGTGAGCCGAAATGTAACAAGTGGTGAGTGAAAATGTAATAAATGGCGAGTAAAAATGTAAAATATGGTGAGCCAAAATGTAGTAAATGGTGAGCGAAAATATAATAAATTGTGAGCCAAAATGTAGTAAATGGTGAGGTAAAATGTAGTAAATGGTGAGCCAAAATGTAATAAAAGGTGAGCCAAAATGTAGTAAATGGTGAGCGAAAATATAATAAATTGTGAGCCAAAGTGTAGTAAATGGTGAGGCAAAATGTAGTAAATGGTGAGCCGAAATGTAACAAATGGTGAGTCAAAATATAAAAATGGTGAGCCAAAATGTAAAATATGGTGAGCCAAAATGTAGTAAATGGTGAGGCAAAATGTAGTAAATGGTGAGCGGAAATGTAACAAATGGTGAGTCAAAATGTAATAAACGGTGAGCCAAAATGTAGTAAATGGTGAGCCAAAATGTAGTAAATGGTGAGCCAAAATGTAGTAAATGGTGAGCCAAAATGTAGTAAATGGTGAGCGGAAATGTAACAAATGGTGAGTCAAAATGTAATAAATGGTGAGCCAAAATTTAAAATATGGTGAGCCAAAATCTAGTAAATGGTGAGCCAAAATGTAAAAAGTAAGGCAACTCACCCCCGCTCTCACTAACAGTGTTTTTTTTAGAAAATTTCCCCCGGGGGGGGGGGGGCGGGGGAAAGCTCAGATATTTTTTTTTTTTTGGGGTGGGGGTGAGGGAGTGACAGTGGCAAGGGGAGTAGCTAAAGGGGGACGAGGGGAACAGTGGTACATCGGGTTACGAACTTAATTCGTTCCAGAACTTGGTTCGTAACCTGAAACTTTCGTAACCTGAAACATTGAAAAATAAAGGGAATCATGGGAAATTTTCTCCTGTCTTTGCAATTTTGAATCATTCTTTTCATGAGTTTCTTGCCACTGTTTCTTGGCAGCCAACTGGGAATGTTTTCTGAACCAAGAAACTATCAAGGGAAATTTGTCTCTTCCTTTTCTGAAGAATCTTCCTGAAGTGGGACATCGCGTTACCATTCATCGGGTTTACTGCCCTGTTAGCAACAGGTTTGTTTGGATGATGATTCACAAAGAAGTTTTGACGTCTGCCCACCACGTGCTGAAAATTTCTTTAATCCTGGCAGTTGAAACAGTCACTGGCTCCTCATCGTCGGACGACTTCTCCTCCTTTAATGTCTATAGTATAGCTGTTCATTTTGAAGATCCACAAGCTAAAACTACGTTTCTAGGCTAGCGCATAGCGATGGTAGGTAGTACTGGCCTTCGTTTGTACTGTAGGCTATCGCTTGTCTCCAACGTTAAACCTCTCTCTCTCCCCCCTTCGTACGTAAACTGTTCGTTACCCGAGTCAATTTTTTTAGAAGTTGTTGTTCGTGACCTGAGGCGTTCGTACCCCGAGGTACCTCTGTATATATACATATACATATATAACACGTAAAAAATAAATACCGCACATAAAAAAATAATAATTTTTAATTGTTTCACAGCCCTTATACAGCTTTGCTTTAGACTTTTAAATATATTTGTGGGCTTGTTCTATTTCCGGTTCAAAATGAGTTCCGGTTTCAGGAAATAGGTTTATTATGTTTACAATAATATCTCGTCTAACTAGAGAATTAATACCTCAGTGCATTTTCACTACACATTTTAGAAATTAATGAGAATGTTGTGGATCAAGTAAGTAGGACACGAATCCCAATTCATTTAGTCTATATCTACTTATAAAATTGGTATACCAATTTATTTACAATTATTTTTTTATGTAATGAATTGTAATGCTAGGACAAAAATAAATTGAAGCCTAAATATAAAAAAAAAATTACGGCAATCCTCCGAAGTCCGGTCCCAAATTATTTCGTATGAAAGAATTTGCAATGCACAGTGTGTATTGTTAGAAAACAGCAGAACTGTCAGTCATAGCTTTTGCAAATAACTGTCGCTTTACAAACCAATCAGTAAATTAGTAAATACTAAATATTGTAATTGGCTCATCTCATAGTCATAGCATTTGCAAATAGCAGCCGAAAACGTTCTGCTTGTGACTGTTGCACCACTGAAGGTGGCAAATAGTAATAGACCGAGACTAGTACCACTGTAATAGCGGAGTTTACGTTTCGCTTGCATCCCAAGTCTTTCAATAATTTATGTGTGAATGTCCTGGTATACTGTCTACTGGATCAACAAATTCACGCACGTGCACAATGACAGCGTGAGCATAAATCCCGTTGTTGAGCTGAGCGACATTTTGATATCCTCGCCAAGCGTCAGTGACGATAGTTGTCCCTGGCAACACATGATTAGTGATAATGCGCTCGAGTGTTTGTGCATCTCGATGGCCGACAGCCTCCATCCAACATTGTCCACTAACGCAATCATGAATTTCAAAACAGAATGATGTCCAAGACTTTTAAGTAAGGAGTAATCATTCGAAATAATTTGGGACCGGACTTCAGAGGATTGCCAAAATTACTATACAAAAAAAAAACAACCTAAAATTAAAAATTATATAAATTGCAGGCTATCGCGCATATGCTTATCTTATGCTATGTCAAAGTCTATACGCCTAAATAAATTTTTAAAAACCTATAATTTATAAATCAGTTTACTTTGTTAATAATAGAAAACTTATTAGTAGTGTTAGTGTTAACTACTAACCATAACACTCACAACTGACAAAAAAATTGAGTACATTCAAGAATAGTAATTTCTTGAATCTGAAGTAAAAGATAATAAAAATAATGCTTTGGATATCTTAGTTAATGCTCTCCCATGTGACTGCAATACTAAACACAAGAAAATGACTTTTTAACCTTTTCATTACCGCTGGTTTTGGGGCATCAATCTTTGCTGACTCAGCAATAAAAAAACTTTAAAAGAAGAAATTTTATGTACTTTTCATTCTCTAGCTTTTAACTTCGTATATAGATTAACTTTTTCTCTCCGGATCAACACTCCCATCGTAGATTTTAAATGAGGTTTCTGGCAAATCGACCATGGCATCATTGATGTATAAAAGACCTTTTAAATTCGGTTCTTCGCTTAGCTATTGGGATTTTAGTTATTTTAAATCAAATATAGAATGATTTCCCTTTGAAAAAAATCCGGCATTTCTGTTTTTGAACTATTTTTTTAAAATTGAACAAAGTGTTTGAAGGGGTTGTTTTGATTATTTTTGTTTACAAACATGAAATCTTGCCCTGACCCATCTGGTGATCGATCTAATAAAGGTTGAAATATTACTCTGATGGTGATTCAGACTGTGATTTTATGATTTTAAACGTAGAACTGATTCTGATGAATCTTATAAATAATTTTAATACTAGTACTAGTATAAGTAGTACTAGTGACAAAATAATGCGGTAATTCATCAGCTGATAACAAACAGCCCGCCCCCAGCTAAAGTGCCTTCTAGAAGAGCTAATACTGTTCCAACTATAAATAATTTAGATTCTAAAAGGAAAGCTGCTGAACTTAGCACTAAAACTGAGTGAAATTTCAGATTTTTACCTTTCGAAAAATATAGGTGTAAATTTTGAGCTTGTATTGTGACTAGTAAGTCAAATGACATTGACTGGTTTATTTTTACTTTGCTAGACACACATATTATTCACAAGCTTGCACTCTCAAAAAATGAGTGTGCCTCCTACAGAATTAAAATCAAAACCCCCAACAAGACTTATCAGGGCAAATCATGTGCCTAAAAGGGACAGTGTGCAAACATAGAACAGGACAAACTGTACTGGCATACTAGTCAATGTGAGTGAAGTCCACATATCCATATGGAATTTTTTCAGCCTTAACATAGCTAAATCCAGATGAAAATGTATGACAAATTTATGGTAAATTTTCCATTTACCATAATAAATGTTAGTACATACAAGGATACAATGCAAATATTTTCTAATAACAACAGATTGTTTGCAGTGGAAATAGTTGGGTTTTTTTTCGGACATATTTTCTGTGATGGTGACAATTGATAATGTGCTCTGGTGTTAATTTTTGTCTTTTTTTTAAAGTTGATCTTTATTATTTGTGATGCTCATATGGATACAGTTCAGAAAAAACACATTTTTGTTACAAATTGGATTATATATTTCTCTTTGTGTGACTTGGAATTAGCGTTTGTGAATAGTTGGTGAGTTTTTTTATTTAAAAATTTTTTATTTTCCTTAAATCATAATCACATTTATATATTAAAATTTTAACCCAATTCTGTATTGTTTGCAAAGAGCATGCATTCCCCTTTAATTCCACACCAAACATAACATTTTCTGATGAAAAACAAATAAGTTATTATGGGTTAGAGACATCATTGTAGTGCGTAACAAATAGGCAAAATGGATAATTCAGTCATAAGGCAGAAAATAATTCCGGAGAGAAATAGTTAACGAATAAAGAAATATGTAGCATTGAAATAATATGTCCATGTGACGTCCTTGGTATTTCAGAAAAGTTCTTTGCTTCTTTGTTATGACGACAATGTGATTTCCTTGGTCATTGAAAGTGGGCGATCGTGACGCAGCGTCGATGTCATCGATAGAGAAAGGGTTAAGATATTACAATTAGATTTATTATTTATTGATCCAAATGATAAATGAATTGATTTGAAATGTTTTTTTATTACAGATATTACCATGTTCAATGTACATATTCATTATCAGCACACAGACAAATATTCCTTAGAAAACTAAATTTTAAAACAAGTATCATTTAAACAAAAGTCATTTGAAGTATTTCTCAAGCCCAATAATCAGTCATCTTATAACATATATGTAAACTATAGAAATCCACTCCCTTGGTAACCAATATAGACTATAGAAGCCCCCTCCCTTGGTAACCAACATAGACTATAGAAACCCACTCCCTTGGTGATCAACATAGACTATAGAAGCCCACTCCCTTGAGTGATCAGTGACCGTGTTGACTTTAACCCTCAGACCTGTTTACTCTTACGAGTATGGTATAGAATGTACAATTTTGAGATGTCTTTATAATTGTACACAGAGACCTATAAGAGCTATGATTTTTTAGACCTGGTTAAACAAATAGTAATACTAAATAAAACAAAGTTTTCGTTTGTTAAGTTTAGCTTCTTTCCACACCTGGTGGTGAATGGACAGAGAAATATGATTGGCTTGGGACCATCCTTAATTATATTAAGTATGCAGCTGGAAAGGGGATGGTGTGGACTTGGAATCATATGAGTGTGTTGGGAACGCTTTTCATAATGATCATCATATTGTTGCTTTGTATTTTCACAATGAACTTGCTAGATACAGAAACGGTAAAATTTAGCATACTCACCCCAGTGAGAAATTTAGTAAATATTCGCTTTTGTTTGTTTTTTGTGCTGTATAATGTAGCTTTGTGATGTGACATAGTTATTTAATTCTTTGGTTGAAAATCGACGATTGTGAAAATGGAGATAACTACCGATATATTTTTTTGTTTAATACATTTTCAATTGCTCTGCCCAGAAGTGTTAGATTTTAAAATATTTTATAAAATCTAGTAAGCTGCATTTTGAAATCTATTTTTAAAAGTCACTATAAACAGCTGTACAATTTTCATATGCCAGTAGTTCTTTTCTCCCAATACAGCTTGTGGTAGTTATTAAACTACAGTATGTTAACTGGAAATAAAATCAGGCTCCTAGGCTTAATGCAAGGGTGGGAAATTCGCAGTTCATCACATTGAATATAGTGGACTGCTGGCTGTATGAAAAATTAATTTATCTCTTCATGTCAGTTATTATTTATTTTCATTTTTGGCATAAACGCACATTTGAAATATATTTACATCATGTTTTTTGTGACAGTACACACCATTTCGGTGTACCTGCCCCTTTTTTGTCTGATTTAAAAAAAATGTATTGAAATAAGTAGTGTAATAAATTATAAAACAATTGTATTATTGAGTAAATACTAAATTAAAAAGTATTTATATAAACACACTTGTACTTGGGTGGATCCAGAGGCTAACCTCAGTTTCCGCTCCCAACTGCATCTTCAGAATATCAAAGTGGCAAATGATGACACATTTTTATTTGCAATGGTGCACTATACTATATAAAGATATAAACATCAGTTATTTACTTTGAGAAGTGACCTTTATTAGACACGCGATGTGACTAGCTATTGTATGCATTGTACTGTATGTTTATGCATTGTACTGCATGTTTATTTACTATTGCTATATGGTATTGTAAGATTTTGAGATGGTGATGTACTATTCTGAGACTATATTGTACTTTTTTGGGAGTTCCCATGTTACCAGGTCTGAACCCTATAACTGTCAATTGCATTTTTCTGTGGCGTCGAGCCATTTTTAGCATTTTCATAAGCTTGTGAAAATGACAAAATCCTATTCTAAATGAATTCAGAGACTCTTATTATAAGTATACACTTCCTGAAAGTACATTGGACAAGATATCTAATGGTATGTTTGGTATGAAAAGAAGTTGATTTTATATTTTGAATGTTAGCATTGCCTTTACCTTTACAGAGTGAGTAAAATTTTACTTCTCAATTTCTGCATTCAAACCCAACCCAATCTCACTATTTTTTTCTATCATCACATCTGGTTTTTTAGATACTAAAGTAAATATCCTTTCAGAAAATTTCAAGATATAGGTCTTTAACAATACGATTAAGCTTAAGGCTATAATTGTCTGTATCTGACTTGTGTCACCGTCAGGGCTAGAGCTGATGCTGTCATTACTAGAGCTGATGCTGTCATTACTAGAGTTGATGCTGTCATTACTAGAGCTGATGCTGTCATTACTAGAATTTGGAATATCTCTGAAATCATTGCTATCATTTTCATTCCAATAAAGAAAGTATGTGTTAATGTTGCATTCTAATGCAGGGCCTTCTCCAGCATCAGATCTAACGGCATTCACAACTGTTGAGCGAATTTCACTCCCAAATAATCTCAAAACCTGATAAAAGTAGGTTTACACACAGATAGAACTCATTTCCATAGAGTGGTCCCCCTTACCGAAAGAAAATTAGGGGTGATGGCTGACAGGTCGACCAAGAATAAGATGTATTGACAATGTAGAGAGGGACTTACACCAACTGGGGATCCACACATGGAGACGGAAAGTCATGGATCGATCTGAATGGTGGTGCCGGCCAGTGCCCTACATGAGCTGCAGCACCACTGATGATTCTTTTTCCCTTAACCAACGTACATTAAATCATTAGCATTTTGAAAGACATTTTGCTAAGGGCATTACGGCAAATTTACTGCCATTGGGACAGTTATAAGTTTATTATTATTATTACTTAGATTTTATAATTTTATAACAAAAATAGCAACTGAGCCTTACCCCAGTTTAACAGGAAGCAAGGGAAAGTGCACTGTGCTCTATTCAACAAAGAAGGTTACACTGACTACTGTCATAAGAATACTTTGACTTCATTCAGTCAATGTTGATTTGCTTAAGGTTAATACTATGTGGGCAAATAGGCTATAGAAAAGTGGTGGCCTGTTTGTGGCAGCATGCGACCTTCCACTTTAAATATTGCGGACCATGGATGGCTCATTCATCACAAATAAACTAATTAGTTCTGCATTTACTTATTACTAAGAAATCTATTTTAAAAAGGAAGTGAGAGAAAATATAAACGAAAATCACATTAGTTTAGTTTTGTTTTATTATTATTCAACTCATAATGTGCTTTAAAGAAAGACAATGACCTCTAGACAACATTTAATGGGTGTTTATTTAAATATTTTAACATTAGGTGTAATGACATGTGGCCTGCAAAAGGTTCACCCGCTATCAAAGTTGCCATTTAAGCCTTTCGGTCCACCATCCCTGCTGTAGAACAAGAATAAAACAAAATGTAGGGAACGTAGATTTTTTGAAACTTTAAGTTCCAGTCATGTTTTTTTGTTTCTTGCTATCATTATGAGAGCGTGCACCATCACATAATTGAGTCATAACTCTACTTCCTGTTCCTATAAAAATGCTTATTCTTTATTATATTTGAGTTGTTAATCTTTTAAAAAAAAAAAACATGCCATGCTCACAGTGCAAATTACATATTATGTGGATTATGAAATTTTTGTCAGGTTCAACAAAACTATAAAAGGTTGAAAACTCATCTGCTAGGCTAGTTCTAAAGGCAAAAAAATGTGACCAGATCACTCCACTCACTTCATTGGCTCCCTATAAATGCACGCATTGATTACAAGCTGTCTGTTCTCTGTCACAAATTTTTCTTGGATTTCTGCCCTTCCTATCTAACCGAACTTCTTTCTGTCTATTCACCCCTTCGACAGCTTTGCTCCTCCGCAGGCACGCATATTCTGTCGGTTCCCAAGACACCCATTAAAACATATGGTGAACGATCTTTCTCTTTCTGTGCCCCCAAACAATGGAATTCTCTCCCACTACACATCCGCAATATCCTGACCATCCAGGCCTTCAAAACTACTCTCAAAACACATCTCTTTAAATCCTACTATCCCAACTGATTGCCCCACTCTGACCAATAAACGACGCTCCTGGGTGCCGTCCATGGCTTGACATGTAAAATTTATTTCTGGTGTTGGTGGTGTGAATATACTTTTGTTTTGTTTTTATACAGCTGTTTTTTACTTAAATAAATGCATGTTATTTTTTAATGTCATGATTATGTTTGCTACTTTTTTTATATGCAGTGTGGTGAGCCCAGCGGGGGTACCGCGCTATATATGACCACTAATAATCATAATAAGATAAAAATTTATTATTTTCTATTGTTTAGAAAATTCCCCCATACTCAGGAGAATTCCTTATAAAATGCTGCGGTGATAAATATCGCTACTATTACCATAGTGCCCATGGCAATGGCATACCCCCCAAATGCAAATGGTGGAGCAGGATCCCCCAAAGAGAACAAAAATAATGGCGACTCTTCCAAGACCTTTGGAGTCTCCAATGGGGAAGTCACAGATTCTGAGCCCCCCGTTGTTACGACTGACAGATACGGCTTCCTAGGGGGGAATCAGTACACAGATCCAGAGTTGTAAGTAACTGCTTTGGTCTTTATTTAAAAATAGAAGTAGATCATAATGAGTCCAAGCCTGGCCAACATGATTTGATTTGATAAATTAAAATACAAACTTAAAGTAGGTTATATCATTATTATTAGGAAATTTATTTTTAATCTGATTTCTAAGTACATTAAAGTTGTTAAATTTAAAGGATTTTGAGTTTTATCAGCGTCAGTTCAAAATACCTGAACCACTGTCAGGTCTCCATTGGCAACTAATTTTTACAGTAAATATGTATACAAAAATTGATTTGACAGAGATATGGTATCATCCTTTCATTTATTAAATTAATATAATTTATGAAAAGAACCCATTATGAATAAATTTACCTGATCTAGATCGGAACTGTGCAGTGAGATGGTGCCACATGTTCCGCACGAAAAATGTCTCCAAGAAGGGGACAGAAGAGAGTATATTAAGTTACGTTAGAATGATGAAGCCATATGGCGATACAAAAGAGATATTGAATAGCATACTACCAGATTGTCCATCACCATGGTAACAGAAATGTATTGAGTACAGACTGTTCAAACATAGCAGTACTGTATAATCATATATCTTTCAGCATTAACCACATTATATTATTTAGTATATGTTGACATTTTTTACTTGCTGTGTGTGTGGACATTTCATAAACGACTAGGTTGTGCTGCGTACGGTCTAGATAAAACTGGTTTTAAGAGATATTAAATTCTGTCCTACAAAAGGGGACTTTTTTATCTTTGTTTTTTTTTTACCTCATGTAACGGAATTTTGTTTAAACCAAGGAGGTATAATATTCTTTTAACCATGTCAAATGAGACCAACGGCAAGTAGGTCACATTCACTCCTCAGCAGCACATGCTAGCAAGTGATATTGGCTGTCATTTCTTATTAGTTAGAGATACCCCAAGGCATAGTCTTTCTTAAAGAAAGTAAGGGCCTCCCCCTCCCCCACCCCACATTATGTTGCCATTCAAAGTTTTATTTAAAAATTTAAAGAAAAGCCAAAAACAATTAAAAAGGATACACATCACAGCTAGATCACTTCTTCTCCAACAAATGCGTCGATAAAGAATAATTTTGGATCCATTTCAGTGAGAGGAGACTGCCACAGGAAAAGCTGAGAAAACGAGAGACCAAGTGGCTTGACATGTTTGTCAACTGGGACAAGTGGATGTCCAAAAGATTTAAAAAGGTTAGTATGTAATACTGTAATGTGTATTTATACACTTTCTTTATAGCAATATGTTCTCAATGTGAGGAGCATTGCAAAAGTGTTTCCGAAAGAAGAAAAAAGGTGAACTTTCTTAATGTTTGGGAAATTAACTCTGAACAAAATCGGTCATTAAAAAATTGTCCCTTTGCTCTCCAGGTGAAAGAAAGATGCCGAAAGGGGGTGCCCCCATCATTACGTGCTCGTGCATGGCAACATTTATGTGGAAGTTTTTTCATAATGGAACAAAACAAAGGTGTATTTGAGGTAACAAATTGCTTTTTTTATCATAAAGTTAAACCCTTCCCTGCTTTCATTCCAAGTAAATGAGTTTGTCTGGGCGTGTTGCATCAAAAAGTCGTCTTTAGTTTAAAATGAGGCTCTGTAGCAATGAGGCAAACAGAAAATAAAACTTTCCTTGAAGACTGTCTTTGCTTCTCTAACAGATGAATAACATATTGATCAAGTTGACCTTAGTCATAAATATTGATCAAGTTTACCGTAGTCATAAATATTGACCAAGATTACCTTAGCCATAAATATTAACAAAGATTAAATATTGACGGAATTTACCTCATTGTTTGATGTAACTAAAATTGACAGAATCAACACCAGATCTTGATGGATATCATATTGATTGCATTAACCCTAGAAATTGACGGATATCAATAGGACCGACTCAGCCTTCGTAATTAATGTACTGGTATGTCAAATTTGCTGAATTTGTCTTTATAATTGATTAATAACATTTTTAACCAACTTTACATGTTGTCAGGAATATCTAAGGCTTCCGGGAGATCCCAAGTGCATAGATGATATCAACAAAGACCTGGATCGCCAGTTCCCTCTGCATGAGATGTTTTTATCAAAGGGTGGTGTTGGGTAGGTTGACCTTGATATTTTAAATTTTTTCTTCCTGAAGGCTCTGGGACAAACACTCAGTATGTACAAATAGTATACCTTGTTTAAAGGACAAACACATATGGGAAATTACAAATAACAGTCTGATAGGTAGTATTGTTAACATTTTACCTGTTAAATGTCTGATTAGGATAATTATTAGGGGTATAATTAAATGTACTTTAAAAAAACAAAACATCTATAAATAAAAACAAATCAGGTAATTTAGCTATTTTAAACATTTATTGTTTAAGAAGAACAACCAAAGAATCCATTGAACTTTATTTATATTATTTTACAGTATCCTTTAAATTTTTTCTATAATTTCAACTAGTTATGCTTGTAACTTAGTTTTAATAATCTTTAAATTTTCCACCCCGCCAGACAAGAATCTCTGTTTGAAGTTCTGAAGGCCTACACGATACATCGCCCTGTTGAGGGCTACTGCCAGGCCCAGGCCCCGATAGCGGCATTGCTCTTGATGCATATGCCAGTGGAGCAGGCATTCTGGTGTTTGGTGGTTATATGTGACAAGTATATCACTGGATACTACAGTCCAGGATTGGTAGGAACTTTATTTCACTATACCATTAGTCTGCTTTCTTAACTTAAGTTCTTTTATTTCACCTTTGAATTGACATTGTGGTGTTCAAGGTTGAGTGGTGATTATCATGTCGGTTGGTTGGTGCAACTGAAGATAATTTATCAAGGTTCATGCCAGGAGGGAATAATTGACGGTGCCTTTTTTGCAGACACACTGAAAGGCTCGGGCGGTCTGCCTACATCAGTTGCACCATTCTTAGAGTTAAGGCTGTTGAAGTAGATGCCATATCATTGTTTTCTCTTTTTTTCTTGATTAGGAAGCTGTGCAGTTGGACGGTGATGTTTTATTTGGACTCTTGAAGAAGACATCCCCATCTGTATATAAACACATGGTTGGTACATATTATTGTCTACTTATTTCCCATCATCTTTTCACTCAGCCTAATCATAGTCATAAACTAAAATATTTGTTTTCTTTGGGAATTTTTGTTGTTGTTGAGTTACATGTGTGCTTAAAACAATCTTTGAGTACTTCAGCCCAGGGTCTATCTGAGTCTACAAATATTATTATTTATATTAAAAAACCTATCTATTATTATTCTATAAATATTCTAACAAGACCTTCCCCACATAATTCTATACATGTATGCACACAAGACCTTCCTGATATAATTCTATACATGTATGAACACAAGACCTTCCCAACATAATTCTATAATGTATGAACACAAGACCTTCCCCCACATAATTCTATACATGTATGAACACAAGACCTCAACATAATTCTATAAATGTATGAATACAAGACCTTCCCCACATAATGATCTACTTTGAATTGTTCCAACAGAGGAAGCAGCAAATAGAGCCCATCATGTTCATGACAGAGTGGTTTATGTGTGTATACACACGCACTTTGCCTTGGACGGTGGTGCTGAGACTTTGGGATCAATTTCTTTGCGAAGGTTAGACTTCCTTAACTTATTGTGTGGTTAGACTCCGTTGTTTAGTTGTGTGGTTAGATTCTATTGATTTATTGTGTGGTTAGACTCCACTGATTAATTGTGTGGTTAGACTTCATTGTTTATTTGTGTTGTTAACTTTTTTTTTAATAACGAGGAAAGCCTCCATTGTTTTTTCTAAAATTTATAAGTGGTAATCCTGGATTTGAGCGTCCCAAATTATTTATCATTTATTTCTTACTTTACTTTAAGTATAAGCAATGTTACTTACAGTCATTCTGTTATTGTCCATCAAAAGAACTTTGTTGGTCCACAAGACAGCTAAATGCACACCCAAAATGGGGAAAACATGTTGATCAGAGTGTGGAAAGAAAACTTGAGAGAGAATTTGGAACTGGCCATGGTCCATTTCCTTATCATCTGCATGAGTTCATGTTTAAAGATGCGATAAGTGATGGCAACGATTTTGCTACATTTCTTACTGTGGTTGCAGAGGCTTTTCTGTGTGAACATTTCACAAAAAACTTTTAACCTGAATCAATGTTCATTGATTGTCATAGATTTTTATAGACTTTAACTAAACTTTCAATAGGAATTGATACGTTTTTAATGTTGTGCTTACTATATAATTTGGGATGCTTAACTCCAGGAAACAGGAAGTAGAGTAAGAAATAAATCATAAGTATAATTTGGGACAATCCGCTCCGGGATAATCTTTTTTTATTTTTTATTATATAAACAGTATTACTATAAGAAAATATGTTTAAACCTTAACTGAGTTTCTTTGAAAGTATTCTAGAGACAGTAAATAACCTTAACTGATTTGTACTTTACTCGATAGATTTACTGTTAAAATTTTAAGTCTTTAGTGCACTGAAAGACAAAGAAAACTGTCAAATGCTGCATCACATAAAGATGTGAGAGTTTGGCAGTACAGCTGCTCTTAAATCGATTTTAAAATTTAAAAACAAAAAAAATGGTAATCTCTTTATTTTCTTAATCATTTATTGTTTTTGCAGCCTCAAAAAAATAAATATTCTTTATGATAATTTAACTATGGTTTGTCTCCAATTACTGATGTAATTGAATCATCATATTTTATAAAGGTGTAAAGGTCTTGTTTCGTGTGGGTCTGGTCTTGCTGAAAGTCGTGCTGGAAGGTCAGGACAAACTGTCCCAGTGCCCCAGCTTCTTTGACACCCTGGAGCGACTGCGGCTCCGAAATCTGCCCGTCGAGCTGCAAGATGAAGACTTTTTATTTAGAGAAGTAAGCCAACGATTTTTTTATCATTTAAATATGATCTGCTGGGTGAATCTTAGCTGCCATCTGTTAGTTGTAGAGTTAAATTTCCTTTCCATTTTTATTTTCCTAGTTCTTTGCATATGTTGAAATCACTTCCTGTTTGATCGGCAGTCACTGCGGTTGGGTGTCACAGAAAGGGACATGGAGAGGGAGCATCACAAACAAATTGCCAGGCGCAAGGCAGCTAAGGAAGCCAAAGAAAAAGAAAAGCAGCTGGCCAGTGGTCAAGGAGCCACCGGAAAGATGGAGAGCAGGACTAAAAGACGGTCATAATTAAGAGCCGGGTGCCTAGTATCTCATTCATATCTGTGTGTGTTCCTCAGTGACAAGAGAGTGTCATGATGATTCGCCACTCCCTGTGAATTAAGGTGATCTTATAGGGGTCACGGGCTCTGCAGCACTGGGACAAGAGATTGACTGATGACTGTGCCTAGGACCATGGCAAAGAGGGCATTGTACAAACTGAGAGCCACTGGAATAAATATATCCTTCTTTGGGAGAAATCTCGGAATTCTGTTCTTAGTGTGAGGATTTTCTTTCACATTTGTGCGCATTAAACATTAGCAGAAGATACAATTTTCTCAGTTTGAATAAATGGAGCTGATGATTCAGTGCCTAGTATTCTGGCAATAATGAAGAAGCAAGTCAAATTTTAAGGGCTCTTTTCTTAATGTTTTGACATGTGCATTCAGGAGACTGTTTTTTGTGTGATCTTCCAGCCTTCCGTTGTTTTGTTAGTTTCATCTTTGTGTCAGGACTCAAGCCACTTGGATAAAAAAACAGACATTGTGGTATCATTCCAATGACAAGCAGGCGACGTCGTACGCTTCCGTCAGGTAGATCAGTGGGGAAAAGCTTTGCCTCGGGAACACATTTGTGCTTTATTCAAGTTGAAGAGTGACAACAGCCGCCAGGTCCTCACTGACGCTGAGTTCCAGGTTGCCCTGAAAAAATGACCAACTGCAGATCACTGTGTTGGAAAGTAATAGTCATATAAAAAGAAGGTTTGATTCTTAGCCTGTATGGTCAGATTTTTGTTTCCCATTGTATTCATTGTTTTCATCTTTGGCTTTAACTGCTGCTTATTTTTATTGGAATAGTTTATTTGCAAAATGAATTTTACTTCTGTGCTACGGTTGTGTCAAAACCTACAAGTTCTTTCCACTTGTTTCATTCATCATGGAACAGCTACCACAGTGTTCTTCCATAGACTTGAACACATCGCCATTCTCCCAACTTGAACGCATCACCATTTGCCCAACATCATCATTTGCCCAACTTGAACACGTCACTATTTGCCCAACATCACCATACGCCCAACTATAGCACATCACTATTTTCCCAACATCACCATTTGCCCAACTAAAGCACATCACCATATGTCCAGCATTTGCCCATCTAAAGCACATCACCATTTGCCCATCTAAAGCACATCACCATTAGCCCATCTAAAGCACATCACCATTAGCCCATCTAAAGCACATCACCATTAGCCCATCTAAAGCACATCACCATTTGCCCATCTAAAGCACATCACCATTTGCCCATCTAAAGCACATCACCATTTGCCCATCTAAAGCACATCACCATTTGCCCATCTAAAGCACATCACCATTAGCCCATCTAAAGCACATCACCATTTGCCCATCTAAAGCACATCACCATTTGCCCATCTAAAGCACATCACCATTTGCCCATCTAAAGCACATCACCATTTGCCCAACTAAAGCACATCACCATTAGCCCATCTAAAGCACATCACCATTTGCCCATCTAAAGCACATCACCATTTGCCCATCTAAAGCACATCACCATTAGCCCATCTAAAGCACATCACCATTTGCCCAACTAAAACACATCACCATTTGCCCAACTAAAACACATCACCATTTGCCCAACTAAAACACATCACCATATGCCCAACTAAAGCACATTACCATGTGACAAACCTGCACACATTTCCATTTGTCAATGATTGAATTGTGTACAGGGAATGAGCCTGGGATATTTGCTTATCTGCCTGATTACTTTTTTCTATGACAACTGGTCTGTATTATGAAATGAGAGATTTGAGATCCTATCCGGGTTCAAAACCATCTGTAAGGAAATAATCTACCGGCTGTCTGAAGGTGTTGATGAGAAGGATGTGGGCATGTTTAATGTTAGATGTGCGAGTGGCCTAGATTAAGAGTAGGCTGATCATCGGCAGAAGGGAGTACTGCATTTTTTTAAAATGTAAAATGGGGGGGAGTGCTTACATTTAAAGTTGGTTGATTTTGGGGGGGGGGGGGGGTCAACTTAACATGGGGGGGCTATTTTTAGAGTTGCATAGATAAAATATNATGGGGGGGAGTGCTTACATTTAAAGTTGGTTGATTTTGGGGGGGGGGGGTGTCAACTTAACATGGGGGGGCTATTTTTAGAGTTGCATAGATAAAATATAATTGTGAGAATTTTAAATGTTTTGGTTTATTATTATATAGAATAGTTGGAGGAAATCTTTTGGGGAACTAATGACTAGATCTGGCCACTGAAGCATTCGTGACATAAATCAAATAAGTTTTGTGTGTTAAGATGCCTCTGTTAATTCTGGAAACTACAGATGTCATATTTTACACACATTTTTCTTACAAATTTTAAATATATTTTGTTTCACTGGAAGACTTGGTGTGTAGTTATTGTATTTTTCATTTATGAACAAAGATTTTGATTGTCTATACATTTTTAAGGTGTGTTTAAAATAGAGAAAATATTTCTGGAATGAATTACTTTGCTCCATAACGGTTCAAATTATATTCTTATACGGTGTTATGGAGAAGATTAAATATTATATTTTTCTCCTCTAGTTGTTACAATAATTTCTTTGCAACATAATAGGATGGTAGTGACTTCTTAAACATTATCACCCTTTATGTGTAACCTCATACAGGCAATAATTACAAGTTTGAGTTCATTTATGTGCATCACAAAATATGTCCACCTCGGCTCATCCATTTAAGTTACCTTTGTGAAATATTTGTTTTCTTGTACTGGTATCATTTATAATGGATGGAAGATTTGACTATGCTGAGAGAATATTTGACTATGCTGAGAGAATATTTGACTATGCTGAGAGAGGCGCATTAAGAAATGGTTTCCAGGCAAGACATGATTAGATTTTTTGTTTTGTTTTGGTTAAGTTCAGAGGAGGAAACTAGTTTTCTGATTAGTTTTGATCCAAATCTGTTAATCTAAATCAACTGGGTCATTAGCAAAAGTTGTTGGCGAGTGCATTGGAAAGTGTAAGTTTTCCTAGTTGGTGACAAGTGAACCAAGGATTGATATTTCAAGACATGTCTCTCAGTTTTATCAATAAAGATCTATCAGTGTGCAAATGTGAGCGAGGTGAACACTATTGCCACCAGAATCAGCTGGTCCCCCCCCCCCTGCCCGTGTCCCCTTGTTTTTCGAGCACATGTTTATATTTGATATGTTTCTTGTTGCCAGCCATACTCAAAAGCATTAACCTTTGTTGAGAGAATAAGGTTTCAGCCACTACTGTCCTGTGCATTAGCCATCTCAATTATTTATCTCATGTATTTTAAATACCTTTGTTTACTTCATTCTTGTTATTTTATGTTTTGTACATAAAATAGTCAGTAACAGTTTTACTTAATCATTCAGTGTAGAGTGGTGTTATGAAATATTCAGTTACACTTTGACTTAATCATTCAGTTTAAGGTAGTGTCATGAAATTGGAGTTGATTTTATCTGAGTCAACAAACAAAAAAAAAAGTATTAAAGTATTCATCTGGCACATTTCTTTTCTTAGTTTAAATCTGCAATGACGCTTTAATTACAGATGATAATAGCTTTGTGTCTTTAAAATATTTGGGTTCAAGAATTTAAAAAAAATAATTCAATTTATCTATTACCTGAATTTGGGATACTTTAAATGCTTGTTTGATCACGCTAATCAATTTGTGGATCGCTAATCAATTCGTGGAGCGCTAATCAATTTGTGGATCGGGGAAAAAAAACTTGATCAAATAGTTCAAGGGATTTCACTGACATAGCATGAAGTGTTACCAGCCTGATTGTGAAGACGCAGACACCTTTTGTAAATAGAACAGTCTGACAGAGCATCTTGACGTAGGCTGGGACTAGGTGGCACAGTAATTTTGTATTACGCAACATTCCATTGTCGTTAAATTATCACATTTGACATTTCCAAATGTCACTTCTCAGTGGAGTCTGTAAGCGTGGGGGGGGGGCTGGTGGCGCCTGATGAGTCTTATAATGTGGGTGTGTTTTTTTTTTAAAATTGAGGACGGTATCTGATCTTATTTAAAAATAATTTATTGTAGCAGAGATGGCATTGAGAGTATTTTAATGTGACAAGTTACTCCCCCTGCTTCCCACCGAATAAATAAATGTTTACAGCACACTTTCAAAACAATTTAAGTTCTAAAAATAGCTGCAAATTATGGTAGCATTATGATGTAAGTGATGGCGGGGTGTGCCCTGACATGTTGTGAGGGGACACAGCTGTGAAGTTGTTTGGTTCCTATATCATCTGGCTGTTTCATTGCATCATTGTGAACATACAGGGTTTGTAGGGGAGGTAGATGTAGAGGCTCATTTTGACAGTCAATCCACAACATTGAGTTTAGTTTATTTCAATGCTAGGACTGAATATTATTTTTTTACCTTTGTTATTTGTACCAAAAAAAAATAAATTATCCTTCATTTTTAATGTGAGCAGAATTCATTCCATACACGAACCCCCTTCGATCTCTTCACAATCAATTTCTCATGATGTTGTTGTGTATTGTATGAGGGTGCTGTCTGTAAATTCTTTGCCTGTACTGTTACATATTATTTTAAAGCATACTAATCCTGGCCTTGTAGACTTAATAGAAATAATGGTTTAAGTGCCTGATAGGAATACATGGATACATCATGGTGTCATGAAAACAATAAATTAATTTATTTTGGGTTACCATACATCCTGGTTTGAATGGGATAGTCCCGGTTTAGCTCCGGTTTAGCAGCTTCATCTTGGACCCTCGACGCCCCGGTCAATTTGTAGTATGAGCCCGGTTTTAATCTCGGCTTGGGATAAAATAAATGTGTCCTGCCTACCTGAGATAGTCTGGTACCCGTGTGTCCTGTCTACCTGAGATAGTCTGGTACCCGTGTGTCCTTTCTATCTGAGATAGTATGGTACCCGTGTGTCCTGCCTACCTGAGATAGTCTGGTACCCGTGTGTTCTGTCTACCTGAGATAGTCTGGTACCCGTGTCCTGTTTACCTGAGATAGTCTGGTACCCGTGTGTCCTTTCTATCTGAGATAGTCTGGTACCCGTGTGTCCTGTCTACCTGAGATAGTCTGGTACCCGTGTGTCCTTTCTATCTGAGATAGTATGGTACCCGTGTGTCCTGCCTACCTGAGATAGTCTGGTACCCGTGTGTTCTGTCTACCTGAGATAGTCTGGTACCCGTGTCCTGTTTACCTGAGATAGTCTGGT